ATCACTGAATATCAGCACTACAAATTTACTAAAAAATAAAGCTGATTTCATCACCCTTCTGCCTAAAGTCTTGTTTTTAAGAATTATTTAATTTCATTTATTATCAACATTATCATTTAATTTGACCAGAGGGAGAGAAAGGGAAAGTAGGAAAGCAAGCCTCCAGGTCCAGGATTCGAATCATGGTTGACCATGTAGGAGTCCAGCACCCCAACCACCACGCCACCTGCCAACTTCGTCTGCCTAAAGTCTAACAGTTCCCCAAACAAGGCACTAATGAAGTTGGCCCAATTCAACTCTGGACCTATCCTCCCAAATTCCCTTCAGTCCCCTATACTTCTGGCACACTGAATGTAAGATATGCCCAGATAGAACATGCCCTCCTGTGACTACATGCCTTTACTCATACTGCTCTGACTGGAACCGCTAAAAAAAAGAACTTGATAAAACTCATCCTTCAAAATTCAATTCCTGTGCCTGGCAGGCAGTGTGGTGGTTAAGACACTGGATTCCCACATGGCTGATCACAGATTGAGTCTCAAACCTGGCAGCTTGTTTTCTCACTTCCTTTCTCTCTCTCTGGTCAAATTAAAAAACAATAATAAAGGGGACTAGCGGGTTGCATGGTGGTTACAGCACTGGACACCCCCACATGCGACCACAGTTCAAGTCCTAGACCTGGCAGCTTGCTTTCTCACTCCCCGCCCCCTTCTCTCTGTGTGTCTCTCTCTCTAGTCAAATTAAAATAAATGAATAAAATAATTCTTTTAAAAAACTAATAATGATTAATATAATTATTATATATTAAAAAAAACCACTCCTGGGTGGCAGGATCACCATTTCTTTAGTCTCACTTGCTATATCTGCCATGTTCCAATAACACTTATTCCTCTCTCTGTAACATTTATGTCGTTTAATAATTAATCTATTTATTCGTCTGCCCTGCTAGACTTTGAACTCCTGAAGACCAAGCCTAGAATAGTTTGTATTCTTGGCACCCACAGTAATGTCTGACAAAAAAGAGACTCCAAAATAAAGGCTTGAGGGTCAACAGGTAACATGGAGTTTAAGGCACTGGATCCCATGTGGCTGACTGCATGGTTGGAGTCCCAGACCTGGTGACCTGAAAATCACACCAGGCCCATATGCATACATGCCCAAAGTCCCAAGAGGAGACTCGAGGAAAAGTAACTGTAGAGTTGCTAGCCCCTTTAGGGGATGATTTCTCATAACCCTAACTGTGGCGAGTGCATGTACTCTTTAGTTTTAAAAATAGAAAAGGGTCTGTGAATGAGTGTGCCTATTTTACAAAGTACCCTCATGAACTGAGAGGTTTTTCGTTCGTTTGTTTTGAGAGATTTTTACTACGGGGCTCGGGCACCCGCCTGAGACAGAAAGCAAGAAATACCCCCACACTCCCCCTCTCCACCGAGTGGGATGGCCAAGCCACAATCCCTTCTTCATTCTCCTCTTGGAATTTTGGGCGCATACACACACATATGCCTTGTATGAATTTAAAGCCACTGAGTCTAGGACTCGAATTGCATTGACCACATGGGGAGTCCAGCACCTTAACCACTGCACCACCTGCTGGCCCCTAATTTGTTTTTTCTTTCTTTTTGGTGTACAGCGGGAGCACTCCCTAAAGAAAGAGAGACAGTAAGAGGTAAAGTGAGAAATCCCTCCCCCATCTTGGAAGTAGCCACTCCACAATCTCTTCTCCTCCATTATCCTCTTGGGATTCTGGGTACATATACCCAGCATAAACTACCAGTCCAGGACTCAAACTGCAGTCAGCCACATGGAAGTCTAGTGCCTTAATCACCACACCACCTGCCAGTCTTAACCTTAGTTTTTCAGAGGTGGTTCACATAGAGCATTTACTGTGAGCACTGGTCAGATACTTAATGACTCCTGGTGACTCTATCCTTAAGCAGCACGAACATTACTAGATAGAAGCCCAGCTGTCGTTAGCTTAGTTCCCCCTCCTTGGCTTTGGCAAGTCATTCTTTGACTAAGTGCCAATGGAGTTTGTGTTACTTGGCTGGTGGTTCATTCATGGGTGGTTCCTGAACAGTTTAGGGGATATACAAAATACATAGAGCACTATTCAAAATCCATGACATATGTTACTATGAAAACTGAGAAACCTTGATGAGTCAAGCATTAAAAATGTTTAACTGGGCAGGCAGGTGGCATGGTGGTTAAAGGCGCTGGATTCCCACATGGCCAACTGCAGTTTGAGTCCTGGACCTAATGGTTTGCTTTCTCACTTTCTCTCTCTCACTCTGTCTCACTCTGGTCTAATTGAAAGAAAGAAAAGGAAAGGAAAGAGTAAAGAGAAAGGGAGGGAGAGAGGGAGGTGCGGAGAGCAGTCAATTTGAAAATGTGATTAAAACATGTGGCCTGTAGACACATGCAAACAGAGAGGAAGGATAATTAATCAAATAAATGGAGTGAGAAGAGTGGCAGCCCTGCAGTCTAGTGGTTAAGGGAGTAAGATCCCATATGGTCAACCATGGTTTGAATCCTGGGTCTAGAAGCTTAAAAACATATTGGTGTGAGTGCATGTGTGGCCCAAATCCCAAAAGGATGGAAAAACAGAGTTATTCGAATGTGATCATATCCCACTAACAGAGCTTTCTGTCTGTCTCTCTTCAGTGTACACCGTGCCCTCTGGTACCTTTTTATTTTCTTCTGTAGAGAGGTTTTTCCTATGGGGCAATTACACTAGCCAAAGAGATAGAGAGCAACAGAGACAGAATGCTAAAATATCACCCCACACAGGGGATGGCCACACTGCAATTCCTTCTCCTCCATTCTCCTCTAGGGAATTTGGGCACGCATGCACGCATACACGCCCTGCATGAGTTTTAAGCCACTCAGTCCAGGGCCACATGGGAGTCCAGGAACTATGCCATTTGCTGATCCCGCCCTCTGGTAATTAAAAATAAATAAAATTTCTAAAATTTAACCAGTATTTTTTCTTAAGTAGGTCCAAGTTATTACTATTTTTTTCTTCTTTTGGAGAGGTTTTCGCTATAGGGCACGTGCGCTTGCCAGAAAAACAGACAGAGACAGAGAGACAGAAAGCGAGAAATCACCCCCCAGGGGGATGGCGATGCAGCAAATCCCTTCTCCTCCATTCTCCTCTTGGGATCTTGGGCACGCACGCACACGTGCCCAGCGTTGAGTTTAAGCCACTGGATCCGGGACTCAAATCTTGGTCGACTACATAGGAGTCCAGCGACATAGCCGTTATGCTAACTGCTGGTCCCCCAATTTATTACTATTTTTGACTCACATATGAGGAAACCACAACTGTGGAATGAATGACCTTGACGTGTCCTCATAATTGAAAATAGTGATACTACCAGTACTAGAAACCAACTCCTAGAATATCTTTTTAAAATTATTTAATTCTATTTATTTATTTATAAAATTTGTGGTAGGGCACATGTGCTCACTAGAGAGAGAGAGGGAAAGTGAAAAGGCAAGCCACCAGGTCCAGGACTGGTCCCAAAGTCCACAACATGGGAGTCCTGCACCTTAATCACCATGCTACCTTTTGGCTCCAAGTATTTCTTGTAAGTATTTTCTTTTGAGGTTAATCAGCACATTATAAATTATTTTAAGTCCCTTTAGTGAAATAGCCTAGAAACTTCTAATGGGGGAAAATATTTTCAACTCCCTATTTCTCCTCTTAAAAAAAGCCTTTGTGAGAAACGGAGAGAAAGGCTTCCCATGAGAGTTTTGGGTTTCCACTAATGAAAAAGAAGTCTATTTCTTGGCATTGAGTTCTAGTGTAGATAGTACTACACAACTCAAATTGTCTAGATATTTTTGAGTATAATGAACCTCAGATTCTAAATATTAATTCTAAAATTCCTAAAATGAACTGTTTGGAACTAATATGATCATTGCAGCTAAATGTTCATTCTACCAGAAGCCCTTAACACCTACCAAACTAGGATATAACAAAGAACTCGAAGCATTTAATTATGGTCAAACCATCTGTAATAAAGGAGGCAGCTCTGGCAAGCCTAGTGTCAGCATAACTTAGAAAACAAGATACATATGGAGAGGAAAGGTAGGGAGAAAAATGAAAGACTAAGATAACTCTGATCTCAACTCCAAGAGAAAATCACTTTGTCACACAGAGAAAAACTAAACAAAGTCCTTCTATTTTTATACTGGCTGAAGTGGAAAGAGAAATGAGAAGACATTTGGGGAAATCAGGAAATGAAATCTTAACAGCACTGAAGCGAACTTTCCATAACAAATAGTTTCCTAAAATAGTGCTGGCACAAAACCGCGCTGGGATTGGTACCAGGAGTGCCTCAAGGCGCTCGACTCTGAGCCTGGAAAGGCTGTGAGCGGGGAATAAGGACAGTTCGAATGACCAAAACTCAGGGTTATTTCCTTGCACGGTGAATTGACCTTTTCAAGAAAAATCAGGGCACCCACTCTCCCTTGCCAAATAAAAAAAGATACATTAAAAATAAAGCCCCCAGACTGCTTCGGGGCAGCGAAGAACCGGTCTGGGAGCTCTCGCTAACCGCCAGCCCGCCGCGGCGCCCGTTCGAGCCCGACGGCGCCCGCTCAGCAGCCGCCGCCAGTGTTCGGAGGGTAGCCCCGAACGCACGGCGCCCTCATCCCAGGCCCGACCACGAAACTGTAGGGCCATGGTCACGTGACCTGAAGCTCCGTTATTTTTTTGTCGGGGCTCGGCGGTGGGCGCGGGCCCGAGAGCTACTCTGCGAAGAAGCATTCGAAGCGGAACTCCAAGGCGCGGGAGGCGCTCGACCCCTCAGGCCGGACCAAGTGACCCCGAAGCGCTACGCGGCGCACGAGCGGCGGGGGGGGGGGGAGGG